TGGGACAAAAATAAAAGCAGAGGGTTCCGTTACAAGGCTGCTAAAGTAGGTGAGGCAAGTGAGGATGCTGGCTTCTCCTCATAGGGTAGCAGTGGACACGCAAATTTAGAAAACTGAACCACAAAATTTGCTCGGAATAGATTGAAGAATTGAATTGTGGAAGAATCGAGGATCCCATCTCATCTTTTGACTTCACAATTGGAGGGATAAGTGGTACCTTTTACTGAAACGAGGATTGCCGGGAGAGGGGAAATGAAGAGTTCTATTTGACTATATAAAATTTCATCCTTTTGCTTTAAACCTGTATCTTTTTTTTTTTTTTTTTTTGAGAGAGAGAGAATGAGAGACAGAGAGCATGAGGGGGAGGAGGGTCAGAGGGAGAAGCAGACTCCTTGCCGAGCAGGGAGCCCGATGCGGGACTCGATCCCGGGACTCCAGGATCATGACCTGAGCCGAAGGCAGTCGCTCAACCAACTGAGCCACCCAGGCGCCCTAAACCTGTATCTTTGAATCTAAAATGTGTTTCTTGTGGATCATGGGTTTTCTTTTTTTTTTATTGAAGTAAATATTAACATAAAACATTACATTAGTTACAAATGTACAACACTGATTCATAAATCTGTGCACTACTCATTGCTTACCGTGATAAGTGTAGTCACTGTATTATCATACAGTGTTTTTCCAATATTATTGACTGTTTTCCTTATGTTGTACTTTTCATTTCCATGGTTTATTTTATAATTGGAAGTTTTTATCTCTTAATCACCTTATTTCACCCATCCCCCCACCCACTTCCCCTTTGGCAACCAGCAGTTTTTGTACTTGAGTCTATACGCACGCGCACACACACACACACACACACGGACACCATTATATACATACACATGCACACACACCACATCTTGTTTATACATTTACAGATGGACACTTAAGGTTGCTTTCCTGCTCAGCCTATTGTAAATAATACTATAATAAACATAGGGTGCATATATATTTTGAAACTGGTGTTTCCGTTTTCTTCAGGTAAATACACAGTAGTGGAATTACTGGATCTTACACTATTTCTGTTGTTTAAGTTTTTGAGGCACCTGTATACTGTTGTCCACAGTGGTTGCACCAACTTGTATTCCCAACAACAGTGCACAGTGGTTCCCCTTTCTCTACATCATTGCCAACACTTGTTATTGTCTTTTTGATACTAGCCTTTGTGACTAGTATAAAGTAATTGCTCCTTGTGGTTTTAATTTACATTTTCCTTATGATGAGTGATGTTGAGTATCTTTTTTCTAAAAGACTTTATTTTATTAGAGAGCAGGGGGAGAGGCAGAGGCAGAGGGAGGGAATCTCTAGCAAACTCAGTGCTGAGCACGGAGCCCGATGTTGGGCTCTATCTCACGACCCTGAGATCATGACCTGAGCTGAAATCAAGAGTTGGATCCTTGGGGCGCCTGGGTGGCTCAGTCGTTAAGCGTCTGCCTTCGGCTCAGGTCATGATCCCAGGGTCCTGGGATTGAGCCCCGCATCGGGCTCCCTGCTCCGCAGGAAGCCTGCTTCTCCCTCTCCCACTCCCCCTGCTCGTGTTCCCTCTCTCGCTGTGTCTCTCTCTGTCAAATAAATAAATAAAATCTTTAAAAAAAAAAAAAAAGAGTTGGATCCTTAACTGAGCCATCCAGGCGCCCTGAGCATCTTTTTATGTTTCTGTTGGCCATCTGTATATCTGCTTTGGAAAAAAGTCTGTTCAGATTTTCTGCCCATGTTTTAATTGGGTTGAGTTTTTTTTGTTTGTTTTTTTGGGGGGTTTTTTGTTTTTTTGTTATTGAGTTACATAAGATCTTTATTTTGGATATTAACCTCTTATCGGATGTATCATTTGCAGATGTCTTCTCTTATTCACTAGGTTGCCTTTTTGTTTGTTGATGGCTTCCTTCACTGTGCAAAAGCTTTTTATTTTGGTGTACCAGTAGTTGTATTTGGTACACCAGTAGGCCCAATAGTTTATCTTTTGCTTTTGTTTTTCCTTGCCTGAGGAGACATGGCCATAAATATGTTGCTAAGGGCAATGTCAAAGAGATTATTGCCTATGTTATCTTGTAGGAGTTATATGGTATTCAGTTCTCACATTTAGATCTTTAATCCATTTTTAGTGTATTTTTGTGCATGGTGTAAGAAAGTGGTCCAGTTTCATTCTTTTGCATGTAGCTATGAAGTTTTTCAGCATTTATTGAAAAGATTGGGTTTTTTTTTCCTTTTGTATATTATTGTTTCCTTTGTTGTAGATTGACCATAAAGGTGTGGGTTTATTTCCAGGCTCTCTCTACTGTTCCATTGATCTATGTGCCTGTTTTTCAACTGGTACCATACTATTTTTTTTTTTAAAGATTTTATTTATTTATTTGAGAGAATGAGAGACAGAGAGCACGAGAGGGAAGAGGGTCAGAGGGAGAAGCAGACCCCCCGCCGAGCAGGGAGCCCAATGCGGGACTCGATCCAGGGACTCCAGGATCATGACCTGAGCCGAAGGCGGTCGCTTAACCAACTGAGCCACCCAGGCACCTGGTACCCTACTATTTTGATTACTATAGCTTTGGAGTATACCCTGAAATCTGGGATTGAGATACCTCCAGCTTTGTTCTTTTCAAAATTTCTTTGACTATTTAAGATCTTTTGTGTTTCCATACAAATTTTAGGATTCTTTGTTCTGTGAAAAATGCTCTTTATTTATTTTTTATTTTTTGCTCTTGATATTTTGATAAGGATTGCATTGAATCTCTAGGTTGTTCGGGATAGTTTAAACATTTTAATGGTATTCTTCCATGAGTGTGGTATATCTTCCCATTTGTTTGTGTCACTTGGTTTCTTCCATCGATGTCTTATAGTTTTCAGAGTATAAGGCTTTTACCTCCTTGGTTAAATTTATTCCTAGGTATTTTATATTTTGGGGGTGCAGTAATAGATGGGATTGTTTTCTTTATTATTAGTGTGTAGAAATGCAACAGATTTCTTTGTATTAATTTTGTATCTTGCAACTTTACTGAATTCACTTATCAGTTATAACAGTTTTTTTGGTGGAGACTTCAGGGCTTTTTATATGTAGTATACCATCTGCAAATAGTGACAGTTTTCCTCCTTTTACCAGTTTGGATGTCTTTTATTTTTCTTCTCTGATTGCTGCAGCTAGGACTTTCAGTATTACGTTGAATAAAAGTGATGGTGGATGTCCTTTTCTTGTTCTTAATCCTAGAGGAAAAGCTTTCAGTTTTTCATCATTGAGTATGATGTTAGATGTGGGCTTTTCATACATAGCTTTTATTATGTAGAGGTAGGTTTCTCTCTAAACATGAATGGATGTTGTATTTTGTCAAATGCTTTTTCTGCACGTATTGAGATGGTGATATGATTTTTATCCTTCCTTTTGTTAATATGTATCACATTGATTTGTGAATATTGAACCACCCTTGCACCCCTGGAATAAGTTGCACTTGGTCATGGTGAAGGAGTCTTTGAATGTACTGTTGAATTTGGATTGTTAATACTTTGCTGAGGATTTTGCATCTTATATTCATCAGATACTGGCCTGTAGTTTTTTGTTTGTTGGTTGGTAGTCTTTTTGTCTGGTTTTGGTATTCTTGTAATGCTGTAGAATGAATTTGGAAGTTTTCTTTCCTTTTCCAGTTTTTGGAATAGTTTGAGAAGAATAGGTATTTACCTTTTTTTAAATGTTTGGTACAATTCACCTGTGAAACCATCTTGTCCTGGACTTGTTTTCTGGGAGAATTTTGAGTAGATTACTACTGGATTCATTACTAGATTTTGGTCTGTTTAAATTTTTTGTTTCTTCCTGATTCAGTTTTGGGAGATTATATGTTTCTAGGAATTTATCCATTTCTTTTAGATTGTCCAATTTGTTTGGCCTATAATTTTTCATAATATTTCTTATTTCTGTAGTGTCAGTTATTTCTTTTCCTTCATTTCAGATTGTATCTGAGTCCTCCCTTTTTTTTTCTTGATGAGTCTGACTAAAGGTTTATCAACTTTTTTATTGTTTCAAAGAACCAGCTCTTGGTTTCTTTTTTCTTTTAGTCCATATTTCATTTATTTATGCTTTAATCTTTATTAAATTTCCTTCCTTCAGCTAGCTTTAGGCTTGCTTTGCTCTTTTTCTTGTTCCTTTGAGTGTAAGGTTAGCACTTGTTTGAGATTTTCCTTGTGGAGATAGGCCAGTGTTGCTATGAAATTCCCTCTTAGAACTGCTTTTACTGCGTCCCAGAGATTTTGGCTCATTGTGTTTTCATTTGCATTTGTCTCCCATATATTTTTTTTTTAATCTTCTTTAATATCTTGTTTAACCCATTCATTGTTAAATAGCATTTTGTTTAGCCTCCATGTATTAATGTTCTTTCCAGATTTTTCTTGTAATTGATTTCTAGTTTTATATCATTGTGGTCAGAAAAAGTGCTTGATATGATTTCAGTCTTCTTAAATTTGTTGAGACATGTTTTGTGGCCTAACATCTCTTTTCTGGAGAATGTTCCATGTGCACTTGAAAAGAATGTGTTTTCTGTTTTGGGATAATGTTTTGTGTATATTTGTTAGATCTATCTAATCTAAGTAATCAAAGCCACTGTTTCTTTGTTGATTTTTTTTTTTTTTTGGTCTGGATGATCTATCCATTGATGTAAGTGGGGTGTTGAAGTCCTCTATTATTGTATTGTCAATTTCTCACTTTGTTAATATTTATGAAATAATTTAGGTGCTCCTATGTTGGGTGCATACATATTTACAATTGTTATATCTTGTTGGACTGATCACTTTATCATTATGTAGTGCTCTTCTTTGGCTCTTGCTTCAGTCTGTTTTATTGTCTATTTTATCTTACATTCTTTTGCTACCCTTGATTATTTTTTTCCCTGCTTCATTTGCATGGGTTACCTTTTTCCATCCCTTCACTTCAGTCCATGTGTCTTGAGGTCCAGGTGAGTCTCTTGAAGGCAGCATATATATGGGTCTTGGTGGTGGTTTTTTTTTTTTTAATCCATTTAGTCATTCTGTGTCTTGATTGGGGCATTTAATCCATTTACATTTGAAGTAATTACTGATAGGTATGTACTTACTGCCATTTTGTTTATTTTCTTTTTTTGGGGGTTTTTTTTTTTTTACTTTCAGGTTATCTTTTTTATTAACATATAATGTATTATTTGTTTCAGGGGTACAAGTCTGTGACTCTTCAGTCTTACACAATTCACAGCTTCTTTTTGTAGCTCTTCTGTTCATTTCTTTTGCTCTTACCCTGTGGTTGAAAGCTTTCTTTAGTGTTATGCCTGTATTCCTTTCTGGGTTATTTTGTGTCCATTTTAGGTTTTTGATTTGTGGTTACCATGGGCTCATATATAACAGCTTATGTCTGTAGCAGTCTATATTAAGTTGATAGTTGCTTAAGCTTGAGCACATTCTAAAATCACTGCATTTTTACTTCCCCTCCACATTTTATGGATATGATGTCATGCTTTACATCTTTTTGTTTTGTGTATCCCTGACAAGGTTTTGTAGGTATAATTGATTTTACTTCTGTGTTTTAAAAACTGGCTTTAAAAGTGACTGATCTACTACCTTTAGTATATGTTTGCTTTTACCTGTGAGACTTTTTTCCTTTAATAATTTTCTTCTAATTATGGCCTTATCTTTGCACTGAAAGAGCTTCCTTTAAATTTAATGGTGAACTCATTTAACTTGTTTGGGAAACTCTCTCTCCTTCTATTCTAAATGATAACCTTGCTGGGTAGAGTATTCTTGGTTGTAGGTCTTGTCTTTTCAGCACTTTGACTATATCGGTGACACTCCCTTTTAGCCTGCCAAGTTTTCTGCTGAAAAATGAGCTGATAGCCTTACAGGGTTTCTCTGGTGTGTAACTGTTGTTTCTTGCTCCTTTAAAAATTCTCTCATAAAAATTAATTATTATGTATCTTGGTGTAGTCCTCCTTGGGTTCATCTTGTTTCCTAACCCAGATTAGGAAATTTTTCAGCTAGTATTTTTTAAAATAAGTTTTCTGCCCCCTTCTCTCTCTCTCCTCTTTCTGTGACCCCTATAATGTGAATGTTACTATGCTTGATGATGTTGCTGAGTTCCCTTTAATCTATTCTCATTTTTTTAGTATTTCTCTTTTTGATATTCAGCTTGATTGCTTTCTATTACCCTGTCCCCCAGATCACTGATACATTCTTCTGTGTCTTCTAATCTGCTGTTAATTCTCTTAGTGTATTTTTTTTATTTCATTATTAAATTCTCTGATTCTTATATTTTCTATCTTTGTTGAAGTTCTCATTGAGATCATCCACTCTTATGTCCCAATTTCTATGACCATTATTTTGAATTCTTTATTAGGTACATTGCTTATCTCCATTTCACTTAGCTCTTTTACTGTGATTTTTGTCTTGTTCTTCCATTTGGGACATATTACTGTCTCATTTTGCCTGACTCTGTGTTTCTCTGTATTAGGTGGGTAGCTATATCTCCTAGTTGTTAAAGTCATGGCCTTGTGTAGAAGAGGTCCTATGGTACCGTATAGCACTTGCCCTCTCTGGTCTCCAGAGGTGCCCTCTGTGTGGGCTGCATATACCCCACTTTTGTGGCTGAGCCACTGTTGCCTTCAGCCTAGCCGACTGCCATGACCCCCATTACATGCTGTGGGTGCACTAGGCAGGGTTTGGTCTCTGTGCTGTTGAGAGGCCTGAGGTTGCCTCAGGCTTGTTGGTAGGCAGGGCTGGCCATCAGCCTAGGAGTCTCCTGTTAGCCTCTGCCGTGGTTGCAGGAGCATCAAAGGGCACAGCTTGCTCCCTGCACAGCCAGCTAAGAGTCTGGGCTGCTGGAATTGCGGGTGTGCCAGTGTGTGGGGTTATCTCCCCCCGCCTCCCCAGGCAGGAATCACTTTGGCACCAGTACCTGCTTGGGCAGCCTCCAGGGTGGGGTGAGGCAGGAGCAGTGGTTTGGATGGGTCCGTCCTCGGGGGAATGCTTGGATGGAGCACATACTGCTAGCAGGATAGATGGGGGAGAGTGTTGGCGCTGGCTTCTGCAAGTGTCCGGCTATGTAAGCTGGTGGAGTAGAAAAGAAGTGGCATCTGCCAGCACTTTTGTTCCTGGAGAAATCTGAAGATCGCTGTCCCTTCACACATTCTAAGATTAGTCAGTAAATCCCCTTCACTTATACCCCAGGTGCTTTTCAGACAGCTACTTCTGTGCTGTGTCTTACACAGAGTTACTTGTTTTGCCGAGTCTTTAAGGGCAGCAGCTGAGTTTCCTATTCCCCTCTGGCTCTTTCAGATTTAAGTCCCACTGATTTTTCAAGCCTCATGTTACAGGGATTCGTCTTCCCAGTGCAGGCCCCTGCTGCCAGGTTTTCCTGGTGTGGGGTCTGATCCTCTAATTTCTCCATGTTTGTAGTGTCCTACCCATTTGTGGTTACTGCCTCCAGGGCTTTACTTTCCAGTAGTGTCTCTGTCCTTCCTATCCTTTTCTGCGTGGCCTCCTCTTCACAGTTGACTGTGGAGGATCTGTTCTGCCAGTCTTTAGATTGTTTCCAGGGTTACTTGTATAGTTGTACCTGTTACCTTGTTGTGTCCATGGGAGGAGATGAACTCCGGATCCATCTTCTGTATCCATTTTTCCTCTCCCTGCCTTTAAATTGGAGTGTTTAATCCATTTACATTTGATGTGATTCCTGGCGAAGGTAGCATTTACGTGAGCCATTTTGCTAATTTATTGTCACTGCGTCGTAGGAGTTTTTTTTTCCTCTAGTTCTCTATTATTACTTTATGTTAAATATTTTCTGTTGTACCATTTTAATTACCTTGTTTCTTTCCTTTTTTTTAAGGTTTTATTTTTATTTATTTGACAGAGCGAGAGCAGGAACACAAGCAGGGGGAGTGGGAGAGGGAGAAGCAGACTCCCCGTGGAGCACGGAGCCTAATGCGGGGCTCGATCCCAGGACTCTGGGATCATGACCTAAGCCGAAGGCAGACGCTTAACTGTATTTTTTGAGCTATTTTCTTAGTAGCTGCCTTTAGAATAACAATATCTTAATTTATAACAATCTGGTTCATATACCAAATTAATTTCAGTAGTGTGCAAAATTTTGCCCCTACATAGTTCCATTCCATTCCTCCCTCCTTTATGCTGTTGTTGTCATACAAATTGTATTTTAATTATTATAAGCCTGTCAGCACAGCTTTTATAATTATTTCTTCATATAGTTTTGTTTTTGTAACAATGTTTGATTTTCTGACCCCAACCAAGTGTCTTACAATTCAATTCAATTCTGATACTAACTGCCTGGAATTAGGGCAGATTAAGGGCTTGGTCCCACAGGACAGCCCTTGCTTCATACATAAGTCTCAAGGACACAGGCTGCCTGCACTTCTGCCTAACTTGGCTTCAAATTCAGGGGTTCCCGCAGCCCCTCTTCAGGTTTGGTATTTGCTACATCAACTCATAGAACTCAGGAAAATATTATACTTAACAGTTGCCGGTTTATTATAAAGGATGCAACTCCGTAACATCCATATGGAAGAGCTGCATAAGACAAAGTATGGGGATAGAGTGTTCAGAGCTTTCATTCCCTCTTCTGGGTGCATCACCTTCCCAGAATGTTGACCTGTTCATCAAGTCAGAAGCTCCAGAACCTTATCATCTTAGGATTTTTTTTATTAAAGTTTCATTATGTATGCATGATTGATTAAATTTTTTGGCCATTGGTAAATGAACTCAATCTCCAGTTCTTTCCCCCTCCTTGAGGTCAGGGGGTGGGGTTGAAAGTTTCAGCCCTCTAATCCATGTGGTTGATTCTTCTGGCAACCAGTCTCCATTCTGAAGCTATCTAGGGGGCCCTTCCAAGAGTCCTCTTATTAGCATAAAATCAGGCATGGTCCAAAGTGCTTGGGTGCTTGGTATGCAAAACAAAAGATGTTCCTGTCACTCAGGAAATTCCAAGGGTTTTTAGAACTCCAAGCCAGGGACTAGGGACTAAGAAAATAAATATTTTTTATTAATACCATAACAGTTGTCTTTTAAGTCAGATAAGAGAAAAAAAGTTACAAACAACAGATAAAATTTTACTATTTTTTGTATTAACTGTGTAGTTATCTTTACTGGTTCTCTTTATTTCTTTGTATAGATTCAAGTTACTGTCTAGTGTCCTTTCATTTTGGCATGAAAGACTTCAGGATTTCTTGTAGGGTATGTCTGCTAATGACGAATTCTCTCAGTTCTTGTTTATCTGGCAATGTCTTAAGTTATACTTTGTTTTTGAAGGATAGTTTTATTGGATAGAGAATTCTTATTCTTTTTTTTTTTTCCCCCCTAGCACTTTGAATATGATGTTCCACTGCTTTCTAGTTCCCTGGTTTCTGATGAGAAGTCAGCTTTTAATCTTATTGGGGATCCCTTGTACATGATGAGTTAACTTTTTTCTTCCAGCGTTTTTTCAGCAGTTAACTATTATGTTTTTCAATGTGACTCTTCCTTAAGTTTATCCTACTGGGAAGTTATTTAGCTTCTGGGCCATGCAGATTAATGTTTTAGATCCAAGCTGGGAAGTTTGGGGTTATTAATTTCCTCAAATATTCATTCTGCCTCTTTCTCTTTTCTTCTTCTGACACTCCTGTTCTGCATAGTTTGATATACAATGGTATACTTTGATATACCTTTTAATCACTTTTTTATTTTCATCATACTAGATAATCTCAAGTGACCGATCTTCAGGTTTCCTTTGTTTTGCCTGTTCAAATCTCTTTAGCCTCACTAGTGAATCTTTTATTTCAGTTATTGTACTTTTCAACTCCAAAATTTCTAGTTGGCTCTTTTTTATACTTTTCTTCCTCTGTTGATACTCTCTATTCAATGAGACATTGTTCGCTTCCTTTCCTTTAGTTCTTTAGACATGGTTTCTTTAGTTGATTTAGTTCTTCAGTTGATTTAGTTCTTTAGTTGATTGAACATTTTTAAAATAACTGTTTTAAAGTCTTTACTTTGTAAGTCTATTTCTGGGCTTCCTCCGGGATATTTTCTATTGACTGCTTTTTTTCCAGTGTGTGACCCATACTTTGTTTTTGTTGAAAGTGTTGTAATTTTTGTTGAAACTGGCAGTTGAAGTAGCATGATGTAGCAACTTTGAAATCAGTTGTCCTTCCCTCCCCAGGCTTGTTGTTGCTGTTTGTTTAGTTACTTTCCTAACTAATTCTTTGAAATTTGTATTTTTTGTTGTATGTCACTACTGAAGTCTCTGCTGAGTTTGTACTGGTCAGATATTTCCTTAAATGACTGTAACCAGGATATCTCCCTGTCTTTGTTGAGGGTCTCTTCATGCATGTTGGGTCACACCTTCAACACACAGCAGGGTAGTGTTTTAGTATACTGTGTACCAAGATTCAGTAAGTGCTCTCTGAATTGTTGCAAGCTTTGGTTAATATCCAATGCTAGTTTACAGCTCTGTTTTGGGTTTTACTTTCTCTTTGCGCATAGCCTCAAGGAGAAACATTCTTTGTGTGCCCTTAGCCTCTGTGAGAGCTTAAGGCCTCTTCCAGTCTTGAGCATGTGCACAGTCCTAGGCATACATACTGTCTACTCATACATGTAGCCTTCTGGATTCCCCAGAAGTTTCCCAAGTCTCCTACGGGGTATCTCATTCTCCAGCTTAAGTTTTTTTGGTTAGCTTATTGTTTGCCACAACTGTTATTCCTCATGAAACAGCAGTGGTACTAAACACTTGCCACTGATTGTTTTTAACAAATGCCTTCAGGGTAAAGGCTGCAAGCTGTGGAGTCATGTCAAATAAAGATAGGCCTTGTGGTAAGGTTTTCCAGGAAGTGCAGATAGATCAGATAATGGTAGTTTTCTGAGAATGAGAACCTGAAACCTTTTTAACTTTGTTCTGACCTCTCCAGTGTTACTATGTTGCTGATTTCACTGTGATTGTGGGCTGTTGATTTTCAAGGCTGCCATGGAACTGGGGAAGGGAATGGGGACATGTTCAGAATTCCACAGGGTTTGCTGTTTTTAACCAAGATTCAGGCATTTTTCTTGAATAAACAGTCTCTAGGTAATTATAAACCTTTGATTAAATTTCAAAGTTCCAAAAAAGTTAATTTTGACAGTTTTTGTCAGTGTTTTCATTGCTTTTATGGAGGAGAGGATTTTCATAGTTTGATTTTGCCATTCCTGATGACATCCAAATATTTTCTATATCTACAGAAAATTGTTGCTGGGATTTTAATAGGAATTGCATTAAACGAGTGTATCAGTTTGGGGAGAATTGAAATCTTTACTGTGTTGAGTCTTCCAATCTTTGAACACGGTATGTCTTCATTTATTTAGATATTTGATTTCTTCGGTGAGCGTTTTGTAGTTTTCAGTATTCATGTCATCTATGTTTTGTGAGATTAGACCCAAGAGATTCTTTTCTCTCCCTCTCTCTTTTTAAAGAAATAGAGACCTTGGGATTTTCTGTATAGGCAAGCATGTCATCTACAAATGGAGACAGCTTTATTTTTTCTTTTCTGATTTATATGCCTTTTATTTCTTTTCTTGCCTTACTGTGCTGCCTAGAACTACCAGCACTGTGTTGAATAAGAATGGCAAGAGTGGACATTCTTATCTTGTTCCTGATCTTAAGAGGAAAGCAACTGGTTTTTTACCATTAAGTATATTGTTAGCTGTAGGTTTTGTATAGATGTTTTTTTAATCAAGTTTGGGAAGTTTCACTCTATTCCCATGTTTCTGAGAGTATTTATCATTGAGTGTTGGATTTTCTTAAGTGCTTTTTTTTTTTTTTTTGCATCTATCAATATGATAGTGTCCATGTTCATCTTTAGCTTGTTAATATGATGCATTACATTGTTTTTGTTTGTTTGTTTTACCATCAAGTAATCTTACATCCCTGAAAATACTTCTTGGTTGTGGTATATAAATATACTTTTATATGTTGTTGAATTCTGTTAATAAAGGATTTTTGTGTCTATTTGAGGGAAATTGTTCTATAGTTTTTGTACTGTCTGTCTGCTTTTGGTGTCAGAGTACCAACTAGCTTTATAGAATGAATTGGGAAGTGTTCCCTCCTCTTCAATTTTTTTTTTTTTTTTTTTTTTTTTTTGGAAGAGAATGTGTAGAATTGGTGTTAATTTTTCTTCAAACCTTCCGAATAATTCTCAAATGACACTATCTGGGTTTTTGAGATTTCTTTTTTGGGGAGTTTTAAAATTACGAATTTTAATAGAGAGCTATTCAAATAATCTATTTCATATTTAAGGAGTTGTGGTAGCTACTGTTTTTTGAGGAATTGGTCCATTGTGTCTTAAGTTTTCAAATTGTGTGCATAAATTTTCTTACTATCCTTTTGATGTTTGTAGTGATACAATGATAACCCTGTTTCATTCTTGATGTTGGTAATTTCTGTCTTTTTTGGGATTGGGGGGCAACCTTTCTAGAGGTTTGTTAATTTTATTGCTTTTTTTCAAAGAACTAGCTGTTTGTTTCGTAGATTTTTCTGTTTTTCCCTTTTCAGTTTTATTGATGTCTGTTCATATCTTTATCATTTCCTTTTTTTCTGCTTGATGTGGGTTTATTTTGCTCTTTTTCTGGGTTCTTGAGGTGGAATCTCAGATTATTGAGACTTTTCCTCTTGTGTATATACTTAATGCTATAAACTTTGTTCTCATCACTGCTTTAGCTGTGTCCACCAATTTTGATAGGTTGTATTTTTATTTTTGTTTAATGAATTTTTTTCCCTTGAGACCACAGTTTATCTTCTCACCAATTGATGGACATTAAGGTTATTTCTGGTTTGGGGCTATTACCAGTAAACTGCCATGAGTATTCTTGTACAGGTTTCTGTATAAATATGTGCTTTCATTTTTCTTTGATAATTTCCTAGGAGTAGAATATCTTAGGTATACAATTCACTTTTGAAGGAATTGACAAGCTCTTTTCCGAAATGACTGTTAATTTATTGTGGTTGTAATTGATAAAGTTGACTTTTGATGGCTTGGAATTTTTTTTAAAATAGGTCCTTCAGCATAAGTAATTAGAGAAACACTGCTTGGAGTAGCCTTAGTTAGATTTAGGTAGCTTTATTTCCAGTGTCGGTGTCATGGTTTCTAGATCCATGGCTTTATTCCATCTCCGTTCGCTTTTCGGTTTATGGCACATACATCCTGAAGTAGATGCCTAAGAAATAAGAAAAAGAGTAAAAGGTCTGAATCCTTGCATTTTTGGAAACCTCTTATTCTATATTCAAATTTTATAGACAACTTAGCTAGAACTAGCCAGAAAAGAATTCTAGATCAAAGATAATGGCTCTTTGGAACTTTGTCCCCCTGTGTGTTAGCATCAAACAGTGCTGCTCAGAAAGCTGAGGTCTCTCTCTCTCCATTTCTTCAAGAGTGCTGTTGTTCACCATGCTGGCTTGTTGGGGTGTGTATATGTCCATGAGTGTATTTGTGTGTATTTTGGTCTCTGGAATTTGGGGGGGCTTTTTTTTTTTAACCATAGGTGCTGTGAAATTATAAAGTAGTGAGATTATGTATGTCTTATTATGTATGTATAAACCAGTTATTCACTAATTCATTGTGTTGAGTTTTTATACTCTGATTTCTTCTCCTCTCTCTTATGAGATATAAAATCTCCTGGATTATGTCTCTAGCCCTTTCTTCTCTGAGATACTCTGTTTCTTTGTATTTTTGTTCTATCTCTAAGAAATTATTTGCATTCCACATTATTTATAGACCAGTTACAGAGGAGTTTCCCCATATTTAAAAAGATGGAATAATGGCACTCACTTCATGGGGTTGTTGTAAGAGCCGAATGGGTGACTATATGAAAAGGACTCTAACAGTAACAGCTATGTAAATGCTAGAAAGGATATTGTGCAGGAGATTTGCTTCACACATCTGCTTCACACGCACAAACTTTCCTTACATTGTACAAGGTAAAATGGAGTGAGTACAGGTGGAAATAGGGTGATAGGTTTTAAAGCAGGAATAGTACTCTGTTCATAGTACTGATTTTAACTATATGCTATTAATGAAGTATGAGACAAAGTCCTTAGCTGAGTGAGTAGAGGGCCTGCAGCAATAAAGGACTGAGGAAGGGTGGAGGCCAAGATGTGAACTCCTTTTAGAATGAGCACACGTATTTATTAGAGAAATGTCATAGGTTTTTCTAGTAGTTTTGAGTTCCTATTTAAATTTTGTGGTCATAAATTCAAAGTGAGATGTGTATTTGGAGAGTTACGTCAGCTGCTTGGGTACAGATACATAGAAGGTATATAGTTAGGTTCAATAGAGACTGTGCTTTTTTTCCTGGCTGATGTGACATAGGAATGGTGGAGGGTCAAGAGTCTTTCCAAAGGAGTGGTTCTTGTGCTGAGTTGTAGAACCTCAACAGGTTAAAAAAAAAAGAAAGAAATGAAGGGGATGATGGATTGTGAAAAGATAGAGCAGGGTCACTGGATTGCAGGACTCTATGGAGTCAATAGTTTGGATACCATAGTAAGTAAAATGGAAGTAAAGGGGACTGGCAGAATAGAATTGTAGAAATGGTTTTCAGGTGTACGATTTTTGGTGCTTTACATGATCTGAAGTATAACCGTAGGAGAAGGTAGCTGAGGAGGGGTTTAGGAAAAGATGGTTAAAGTTGAAGTCCAGGAACACAGAGGCCAAAGAGTTAGATTGTGAAGGACTTCAGCATATGGAGAGAGAAACAGTGAGTGGCATGCTAAAATTATCAATGAATGGAGGAAGGATATTGAGGAGGTATTAACACAGCAACAGAGATAATGGGTGGTAAAACCTGATAGCACAGCCTTCAAGGGACATTAAGTGGGGCTCAGTTAATGGAGGAAATAGTACAGTAGGGATTAATGAGGATTAACAGCCTCCCCACCTCTGAGTTCTGAAGCTGTCTGAAGGATTGTGGCAAGAGGTCACCTTAGAGAGGATACTAGAGAGAAGTGTCTTTCAGGAATAGCCAACTGTCAGAACAAGAGAGAACATTCATGGAAACTGAAGATGATGGGTGATCTAGGAGTTTGGACCTATGATGTCTGAGCTAAAACCAGAATATGATGGGATTAGTCATGGAAGTGTCTTGGGTGAGAGCTGCTCATGAATTAGAGTTCAGAAAACTTACCTGGAAGGATAGGGACGACTGGGCTCCTAGTTTTTCAAGTCAGACCTTCTAGTCGTACAGATTTCTTCAGTAGCGCAGTGATTTTTGGTAGCTTGGTGGGTCTCTGTTTTGCTGGGAGTACAAAGGTTTTGTTTGCTAAATTTCTTGTCCCTTTTTCATGGAGCTGGACTTCTTCATGTGTTTGGTGTTTTGTTTTTGTTTTTTTAAGATTTTTTATGTATTTATTTGAGAGAGAGCACAAGTAGGGGGAGCGGCAGAGAGAGGGAGAAGCAGGCTCCTTGCTGAGCAGGGAGCCCGATGCGGGGCTCGATCCCGGGACCCCGGGTCATGACTTGAGCCAAAGGCAGATGCTTAATGACTGAGCGACCCAGGCTCTGGTGATTCTTAATTCTATATCTGTTTATTCCCTTTGCCTTGGACTTCATGGGTTTCCTGGCTGGACACTGTGGCTTCTTGTCTCTTTCCTTCTTTTAGGTCCATTGAACATTGTCAGCTTTCAATCACAGATACGTATTTTAACTTTTTAAATAATTCTTTCTTCTGCATGTTTGGTATAGGAGATAGGATTTTGGATATTTCAGTTCATTTTCTTGACACTGTCAAAGTTAAATTTTTAGAAAGGAAAAATTGATATCAACCCAAATGTCCAACAGTAGGGAATGGGACAAAATGTGTTATATCCATATAACCAGACATTTAGATAACAAAATTTTATTTTGCTAAGGACATGGGAGAAATGAGAAACTGCTCTCAATACATTTTAGTGATGCCATAAAACATATGTTCTATAGAAAGATATAAGTAGGTATTAAAATGTAAAGGTTTAAGGATATTAAGATTATAAATGATTATTAAAAGTGAGTGTACTTTCCATATTTTCTATAATGAATTTGGTCCTACTTTGATAATGGGGAGGGTGGAAGGGTAAGTAAATAGGACTTGGAATGAAAGCAAGTTAACAAATTATGTGATTTGTGTTAACAGTACAAAATTCTATTTTTGTAAAAAAATAGGGTTGTATAATGTGTATTTTTGTGTATGTATGTGTATCTTAAAGTCTTAACTCTTAGGTAGACTTTATAAGGTTTTGATAAAAATCCACTGGCATCTTATATGGGGTTTTTAAAAAATAATTTACCTTGAATATGTCAACAAATCTAAACATATAGTTGGATTAATCTCAAAATATTAATTTCAAGTATTAGTAATTCTGTTGAAAGAAAATAGTTTCAGGGGCACCTGGGTGGCTCAGTCAGTTAAGCATCTGCCTTTGGCTCAGGTCGTAATCCCAGGGTCCTGGGGATTGATCCCCATGTCAGGCTCCCTGCTCAGCGGGGAGTCTGCTTCTCCCTCTCTCTCTCCCCCTGCTCATGGGCGCACTCTCTCTCTCTCTCTCTCTCTCTTGCTCACTCTTTCTCTCAAATAAATAAAATCCAAAAAAAAAAAAAAATTTCAGTTTAAAGTTAAGAGACCTAATCTTCATTGTCATTTCTATTACTGCTTTATTGAAAGTTTGTCATATACGTGTGAATGCTGTTTTAATTGTGGTCTTCTGGTGTGTAATATGAATTTCCTGTCAGTATTTAGAAATCTGTGAATTGGCTTTATAGATATTTTGTTTATTGAGCATATATTTAATAAGTGCTAACTATATGCTAAGCACTACTCTCGGTACTTAGGATATGTTAGTGAACAAATAAAGATAGCAGGTGGTCTGGTAGGAGTAACACTCAATTATAGCAGAGTACCTTTTAGTGAGAACACCCATGCTTAGGTTGTTAGCATTTTAAATACTGTGTTGATATAAAAGCCTTATAAAGCAAGAGAAAAAACAATCTCCAGTACCATCCTTCTTTTGTTTTATTAGATTGAGGAACTGCAGCAGGCATTAACCGTAAAACAGAATGAAGAACATGACCGCCAGAGGAGGATAAGTAACACTCGGAAGATGATAGAGGATTTGCAGAATGAACTGAAGACCTCAGAAAACTGTGAGAATCTTCAGCCCCAGATTGATGCCATTACAAATGATTTGAGACGAGTTCAAGATGAAAAGGCATTATGTGAAGGCGAGGTAATTGATAAGCGAGGAGAGAAGGAGAGCCTAGAGAAGGAGAGAAAGAGTAAGTCTTATGAAACTTAGGGTGAAGAGATGTTTGTAAAATGGAGATCTGTTTCTGTTGATGGGCTTTCTTCTTCCCCTGGTACCGTGTCTTTAGCTACTCACGTCCCCTTGTTGAGGAAGCTCAGCTTGATTTTTCCAAGTTAATGCCTTAATCACTTATAGGTAGCATATACCATGCTTTGCCACTGGCTACCATTGCCTTATATATGTCAGATTATGACAGTTGATTTAATTCTCTAAAAATGGTTTCCTTTGTTTTCTTCACAAAGTCACTCACTGTTGTTTATCAGATCAAATTTAAGCTCTTCATTCTAGTCTTCAGAACCTTCCATTAGCTTTGCCCCTTTGAAACCTATCCAGTTTCATCTCTGCTTTTCTTTCCTATGGACCATGAAAATAGATTTATAACATTATTCAGATAGAAGAGGTCTTAAGTTCTGTCTACTCAGTGTATACGACTAAGATCAGTAAAAAAGAAAACAACCTCAATTTTATGTTTAGCAGAGTGCCCTCCACCTCTTTCAAACCTCCACACCCACTCTCAGGTGTGTGCATTTTTAACTCAGCAGTTTTTTCCAGTAGATCTTCATTTATATTTTTATTATGTTCTTATTTCACCATGCCTTGATAATCAATTTTAGATACTATCTTTTGATATTTTGTAATTTGAGATACAGATTTTGGCTCATTAACAATTCCCATCCTATTTGAATTCCTCAAGTGGGATTATTAATATTAGTTACTAATCATTAACCTTTATGATCATCTTTATATTTTGTGTCATTAAATAGTTGTATTGCTTGAATACACACTTTGACTCATCCTTTTTACTTTCTGCTCTTCTGACATTCTAAGTCCTCTAATTTGTACTCTGGTTTTTATATTTTCAAGGCTGAAAACATTTTATTGAGAACCATATCAAGTTTTATGTGCTATGTTTAAGAGTTAATTCTAAAAGCTAGAAATATTAAGTATTGTTGTTACAGCAGTGAAACTTAGTTCACAGCAGAGCCAGGTAGTGCATTTTGATCGGATCTCCTTTCACTGATAGCTATTTTTTTTTAAAGGTTTTAATTTACCTTTAAAAAAAAAAAAAAAAACCATTTGCTTTAACATTTCCTTAAAAAAAGAGTAGGCATTCTCTTGAGGTCTGGAGCCCTCCATCCACTTCCTTCCATCTAAATGGATTGTTTTCAGAGCTGCCTGTGTGGTGGCTGTTGTCTGGGATTTGTTGGGCTTTGTCACAGATCCTTTTCTGTGTTGGGTAAAGCTATTCCTGAATTCCGTGGGCTTTTTGTTTTTCTTACATTACTTAGTATTTTCTTAAATTACTTCCTTACACATCTTTAGGTAACCTTGTAAGAAGAGATATTTGGGGATTAATTTCAGAGTCTTTGCATCCCTAAAAATACCTTTATTTCTTGATCTGCTTTCCTTGGTTTTGTTATATATGTGACTCTAGGTTGAAAATAATTTTTCTCTCAGAATTTTGAAGGCCTATTGCAGTCATCTCATGTTAGGAAATGTAGTGTTTCTTTACTCCTTTTTTTTTTTTTTTACATGACCTATTTATTTTTGTGACCTGTTTAATTTTGGTAGCTTAAAGATCATGTTTTATCTGAAATGTTTGGAAATTTGATAGCCGTTTGTGCAGGGTGTTGCTTTCTCACGGTGGTGGGTACTTGCTGAGTGGTGTTGCTAACTTTTGGATCTAAGATACCCTTTTGTATTACTAGTGGATTATTTCACGAAAGTTTTCAGAGAACTAATACTTTATTTTCCTTTTTTAGGTGTGGGTGATAATATTGTACGATTTGACAGTCTTATGAATCAGAAGGAAGATAAGCTGCGACAAAGATTCCGTGACACATATGATGCTGTTTTATGGCTAAGAAGTAACCGGGACAAATTTAAGCAAAGAGTCTGTGAGCCTATAATGCTCACGGTAAGAAGTTTTGTTCATCTTGGTTGTATCTGTTAGTTTTCTAATTTATAATCCTTTTATAATCTATAAACTTTATAGATTTTTGTTGTTTTAAGAATTCCTAGTCTTATTAACACCTTGGTTTTCCATTATCAGACTTGTGGCTACTGGTTGCTGAATCCATACCTGAGTTGTGACCAATAAGTCTTTGAACTTTGTCTAGAAAGAGAATGAAACTTAGCTTATTGACCAAGAATCGTGTAGAAAATTAGTTTGGTTAGCTAGTTCCTTCTGGCAGTTGTTATTCTTAGGTTACAGCAGGCCATAGATTAAATGCCACCCAAGGGCTGGAAACTGCTGTAAATAACTATGTTGATGGGGGGAACCAACAGAAGAAAGAAGAGAAAGTCACCTACAAGTAACAGAGCATTCTTAGGATTCTGAGAATGCAGCCAGCAGTCTGTTGACCTCATAAACCTTTGATGGATAGCTCTTTTTGATGATCATGGGTCATTAAGAATAGGGTAAGCTATATTGAGTAAATCATTTAATGAAGTGTGGCCATGGAATGGCTAGGAAGATTTCTATCTGAAATATTTTAAATAATAAGTTTGGCCATGGAAAGAGAAAATAAAGTAAAAACCAGTCTTTGGCGATGATAAAACTTACCCAAAAATGACTTAAGGATTGTTATTGCTGGGTGGTTTTTTGTTTTTTTTTTTTTAACTTTAGAAATGAATGCACTGAAGATCCTTGCAGAATTCATGAAAACTTCTATCTTCTTTAATTCATGTTTGTATTATTCTTTAGTTAAAATCATTTCATGTAGTTGTCTTTTTTAATATCTTAGATTATATTAGCAAAATTAATATGCATAATACTGTATTCTCTTCTTGCTCAGGTATGTATTATTAGAGTATTTTTGCCAGATCAAGAAGGGAATATCTATTTTGGATGCAGACATTATTGTTTTGATTAATCTGGTAAGGACTGAAAGAAAATATAAGAAAATATTTTGAGTCTTAAGAAATTATAATGCAAGTAATTGTGAACAGATTTTTATTAAAATGTCAACCTCAAAATTATAATTCACAACCTTAGTAAATTTGCCATCCTTTTATCATTTGGTCTCCTAGTAGTAGTAGCCTGTCACCAAAAGGGATTACTAGCTGGCATATATTTATATTTCAAATTAGGTTTGAATCTTTGAGATAAAAAGATATAGTCTTGCTTGCTTTTTATCCTTTCTGGAATAACCCTTTACCTTTCCTACCACCTTTCCAACTGTGTTCCCCCACCCCAACACACATACACACACTTAATCTTTCAATATCTAGTTGAGATGTCACCAATGTAGACAAGTTAGCAGTATATAAACTTAAAATTTTAGCCATATAACTTGTCAACTAACAATCCATGTCCATGAGTTATTTCTAACCATTCCAGGCTACAGTGGGAGAAGTGTGCAAAGATGTATTTATAGTTCTGTTCCTCACAGCAGTGTTTATTATGGCACAAATAATGGTGGGGCAAAGAACAAAATTTCCAAAGAAATTGATTGGTCATGTAAATTATTCTATATCCATTGACTGGAATACTGTGCAGCCATTAAAAATGTCATTCACTATAAGAGGACATTTATGACCGATTAATGAATTTATAAAACCGGTTCTAAGATAGGATATATAGAAAGATTTCATG